GATGTCCACAAGGAGGAGTTCTATCCCCACTAATGTGGAGCCTAATCGTAGACGAACTTCTATGCAGATTGACTGACCTTGGCATACCCTGTCAAGGTTATGCCGACGACATAGTCATATTTGCTAGTGGCAAGTTTAGTAATATCCTGTGTGATATAGTCCAAAGAGGACTAGAACATACCAAAAGATGGTGCCGTGAAGTGGGACAACACTAGTAGCCTTTTCAAGGAAAAGAAAACTTAATCTCAAAACCGTTAAATTAGACGGGATAGATATAGAATGGAAAAATGAAGTCAAATATCTAGGCCTAACCCTGGACAACAAACTTCTGTGGAACACACATGAGAAGGAAGTAGTAAATAAGGCCACAAAAGCCCTAATGGTATGCAGAAACATGGCGGGTAAACGATGGGGATGTAACCCAAACATACTGCGATGGATGTATACTGCAATAGTGAGATAAATCATCACTTACGGGGCTATAGCCTGGAGTAACAGAACTAGTTTAGTTACTACGAGAGCTAATATCTCAAAAGTACAAAGACTAGCCTGTGTTTGCATTACTGGTGCAATGAGAACCTGTCCTACGGCCGCAATGGAGGTGATCTTAAACCTCACCCCTCTACATTTGATGATAGAGAATGTGGCAAAAAGGACACGATATAGAATGATCAGGAGCGGAGTAATCAGACGAAAGTCTACTTGCTTCAGGACTAAAGATACCGGGGACATGCCCCAGGATGAAATGCAAAAGAAGTACAGTTTTGTGAAAAACTTCAAAATCACAGAGCTGGGCTGCAAGAAAGAATGGAGCCAAGAATCCATCGCGCTTGCAACCGAAAGACGTGCTATTCAGTGGTACACGGACGGTTCCAAAACCATAGAAGAAACTGGAATAGGAGTGTATGGGCCGAGAACCAAGCACTCCGAAAGCTTGGGAAAATACCCAAGCATCTTCCAGGCGGAAATTCACGCCATCGAGAAGTGTATCCAGTTTAACATTGAGAGAAACTATCATAGACAAGAGATTATCATCATGTCCGATAGTCAAGCAGTCATCAAAGCGCTGAGTTCTTACGTAATCAGCTCAAAAATGGTATGGAGATGCCTAGAACAATTGAATGAGCTAGGCGAGAAAAATAGAGTTACTCTCATTTGGGTCCCGGGACATAACGCGGTACAGGGTAACGAGATTGCAGATAGTCTTGCAAGGAAAGGGGCTCAAACACCCTTTGTAGGACCTGAGCCGTTCTGCGGTATCAGCAGTAACATAATATTAGAAGAGATTAAAAAAGAATTGGGTAGTAGAAGAACCGATAATTGGAACAATCTCTTGGGACTGAGACAGGCCAAGATACTTCTGGGTGAATATAACCAAAAAAGATCGGAAGCCTGCATCTGCCTGAGCAAGAACAGGCTACGTATTGTAACAGGGATCCTTACCGGGCACTGCCGACTAAAAGGACACCTAAGTAAACTGAGAGTAGTAGAGGATAGTGAGTGCAGATTCTGTGAGGAGGAGGACGAAATCTCCATTCACATCCTAACTGAATGTGTAGCACTCCAGAATTCAAGGGCACTATATCTAGGAGGATATCAAATAGAAGAGGGAGACTTACCTAACATGAAGCCACTTCAAATCCTACACTTCCTTGAGAAAATAGGATTGGAAGGGTCGCTATAGGCATTGAGACATTTCCTTAGTGCAGTGGCGACAGAAGGAGGCACAATAGATCTTTTAGGTCGCAGTGTATTAACACCCCATTATCAACATAACATAACATAAGCAATTGTATTGAAAATCTACAATTATGGATCCTTCTACACTGAGTACTATTAAAGGTAACAGTTCCTGAAAAGCCTTACAAGAAAGGGAAGACACCTTATTATTTTACATGCTCATTCTGAAGGTTTTGTAGAAAATGCATTATTGGTTTTTGAAGGTAAAAAGATGGGAGATTACCATGAAGAGATGAAGTATTTTAGAAAAAAATAATTTTATTACTGATTTTTTAAAACTAAAAATTAATTAATTTCTAACCAAAATGATTATAATGTAACTAAATAGCAAATTTTATTTATTAGAATAGAATAAAACTATTTACAAAGTTGTTATAACATTTAAAACACCATCTACTATCTTAATTTGGCACAATGAGTTGACATTATGTTCACAAAAAATATTTTAAAAATACTTAAAATTAATACATAGGTATGTATGAATAGGTCACTTTAAAAAATATATGTTGACATGTAGTGTTATGAAAATGTTGGTTCCAGTTTTCAAAACAAATTCTGACTCATAGGCCTGTAAACTTTTGAATGCCTTTATTTGCCCTCTAGCGCATTAACCATGGGTTAACACTAAATAAGCCATAATATCCACATTACTCATAGAAGAGATACCAGTTACTGTGTGATCCACTTGTCATTCACTGATTAACTTTTACTTTTTATACTTATAACAAATATATCCTTAAAAATGTAAATAGATCTTTATATTTTATACTAACCTGGCTACATCTGGATATTCCATTAACAATTTTCTTAAATATTTAATATCCATTTTAAAAAGATCATAGTTATTCTCAAAAAGTCGATTTCAAAAGCAAGAAAAAAGTATTTCTGACTTCAATCAACAACCATATTGACTTTAATTTGACAGTGACATTTCGTTTTAGACACACATTTCAGATCACAATAATGTGAAATTTGCGACCGTTGTCTGAGACCAATTAAAAAATTACTTCTATGACATTTATTTGTTTCTTAACCGCTCATTGGCCGTTCACCTTCTAAGGCCGATAAAGGTAATTATTTCAAAAATTTTGAACACGACTATATTTCGAAACTCGCTCTTAGTAACAAATCTAGTTACTTTTCCCTATGTAAATGCGTCTTTTCAATTCGCTCCTTCTAGTTTAAAAACAGAGTATAGTATTTTCATTAAACAACAAATTAAATCGCACAGTCACGTTATTGTTTCGATGAAGAGTTGCATTATTTAATTTTAAATATATAACAGGTTTCGGACACTTCACTAACGCCTCGCCATGATCACAAAATAAACACTTTTTGTCGTCAGATAATATAATTTTTTTTTTTGAGAACGACATTATTCAGAAAATTACACGACTGCAAAGTAAACCAGTAGATGTAGAATTGAGCAAGACTGATTAACAACTGAAAAATAATTTTCAAAACGAGCCAAAACTTCTAAAGTAGGGTTGAATTTTCTATTTGGAAGGTTATAAAAATTGTTTATGACAGGAAAAAAAAATAGAAGAGTTAAACGTACAATTTTTTCAAAATACGAAATAAGTCCCTTTACCTATTTGTATTCATAGTGCAAAAGATTGAAAATCATAAAAAAATTTCATATTTATAGTACTTACTCTCAATATTAGAAAAAAAAATTGTTTTCCTTATTTTTGTTAAATGGAGAAAGGCTTGGATATTTTTGAAATCATAAAATTATATAACCCCAGTAAGCCTACTATGTTCATTGTAACAGGTAGAAATTTTTTACGGATCACGACAAGTGTATTTGCCCTTTTTATCGTATTGAAAAAAAAAGGTTGAAGAAGATTTTACTTCTCAGGCAGTATCTGACAATAATTATTTCATGAATAAAAATAAATGTTAAAAATAAATGTTTCTGTTAACTTTAATAAATTGCAACCCTAGTTAAGTTAGGTTATAACAAAATTACTCATTGATCAACTCTTGATCAGATTGTAATATCAATAAACGCCCCTTTTGGAGTGTTTTTTCACAAAAAAAAAAAAACTTTAATAAATAAAAAAGTTATCAAAAGTATCTAAAAAAGTAAAAAAAAATCACATGATACAAAACTATTAATCGGCAAATATAACAAAGTGTTATGAAAAATGTTAATAATAATTTTTTTAAACTTATTACCTCTGTAAAACAGCAAATAATTGATTCAGCGCGTCATCGGGCTTTCTCTTACCCATCTTATACATTGAGTTGGAAGTGCACGCAAAGTACACGCGCGTAGGAAGCATATTGTTATGTTATAACGAAAACAAAACATAACAAACAAAATTTTGAAAATTTATTTATTATTTTGTTTATTATAGTTTAAATATTCGGTAAAAATTTAAAATTATAGCATTTTAAATTTTAAGGTATATTATTTAATTCAAGAAAATTAGAATTTTCGTCAATTTTGGATTTTAAAAAATTCATAACAATTAAAGGGTTGAAGATACGATAATGGGCGTAAGAACTTTTTTTATTCGAAATATCCTAAAGAATTTAAAAAAAATTAATTTATTGCAAAAAATGCATTTTTTGCCTTAATTAATTTTTCTTTGTTTAAACAATAACATCAACAAATATCGAGTGTCATCTTACACTTTTATAATTAGGCAAGCCTTCCGGACATTAAAAAAAAAATTACGAATTAAAACAATTTTGCAAACGAATGCGCCACTGTGCCCTGCACTAACAGGAATTTGCACGATCTACGCGGCCAAAATTATTTTTTTGGTTATTTGGTATATAAACAACGTAAATAAATAAAATAAGTTATTTTTACAACAAATCATATATTTTCTGAAAACAATTATATATTTACAAAAAAAAAATACAAAATTTTAGATCGGCAAAAAATGTTTGTTAAGTTTCTTGACTTTCTTCGTTGCTCTCTGATGAACTTCCTGTTTCAATATGGGATTCTGCAGATACACACATGGCCAAGGTTTCAGGCAAAAATGTTTTTGCTTTCCTTTTTTTTTACATTTCGCATGCTCCTTAGCACAGGATCTGAACTAAGCAGAAGGCGATTAAAAATGTCCTGATTACAACTTTCCCTAGAAAATTTCGTCGCAAAACCTTGTCGGTAACTTCTGAAATGTTTATTGCGAGCCTCAGCAGCTTCCTCGGAAAGCTGTCCGATTGGTAACAATGCCTTTTCAATAGTGACTGCACCATGCACTAAAATCTTGTGCATTGTTGGCGTCATATGATGCCAATCACAACTTAACATAAAGTCGAGCAGTTTCTGAAGCATATCTTTCATAATTTACCGGATCAATTTCAAATCCGCTTGAAATTGCTTCTAATATGGCTTTTAGTCTGTATGTCAGTTTATAGCTAATTCCAGTTAATTCTGCAGCTAACGTGGGATTCTCAAAGAACCTTCTGCTAGTATTTCCATCATTTCTATTCCCGAAATTGGATTTAGGCATATCTATTAGTAAACCTGTTTCAGTGCGCAACCTTGTTTGTATCTCTCTTTTGGTTTGATCTTCTAGGTCTTTCTCCTCTTTCGATTTTATTCCCCTATATTTTTTCACTTTAAGTTTATATGTTAAGTGTAGGATGAATTTAAATAATCGAATTTTAGCGTGTAACACAGATATGCCGACTACAAGGGCTGTAACATTCACTTCTCCTTTGTAATCCAGTTTATTAAAATGTTTCGAGGTTGCCGCACATATGTAGCACTTACTCGTAGACTTTGTGCCTGTAGCTGCATTGCAGATCTTTCCATCTACCATGGTCATAATAAATTTGTGCTTGATTAACAACTTTTTCTCTCCTAGGTCGACCTCTGTTGGGACTAAAGAGGTAATAGCACTTTTGACGTGTGTTATTTCCTCTTCAGTTACATCATTAGTTTTCTTGATAAAACGGAATCTTATTCGTCGACAAAATCGCGGCGAAAAGGGCGTTGGATTATTCTATAAAACTTTTTCATTTTTATCTCCAGAAACAGCTTTGGAATATGCTTGAATCCGAATCAATGTCACTTTCTAGTTTTTGTTTAAACTGTGATTGTTGAGACCCATCACAGCCCTATTTACTACTTATAGTTAGGCAATCATGTTCTTTCTCCTTTTCTCCTTTCTCCTCTTCTAGGTATTCCGATAAACATCTAAAGGTAACATCCATTAAAGGCTGTAACTGAGCTTCGGCACTGATACTCGTTATCATTAACGATTCTTGAAGTGGGTAACATTTCTGTTTGGCTTTTTGTAATGCACTATAGCACGGAAAAAACTTCTTATTGGTTTTTCTTTTGATTTCGTACTGTTTTTGCTTCAAATCGGCATCTATAAACATTTGCAAAGCTTGCATTGGTGTCAAGGAGTGCTCTTTACTTGATTCCCAGGCAGCACACTTTGGCATAAATTACGTTTTTTTTAGGTACTACCATACGTATGAATACGGTTGATGTACTATCAAATATATTCGTGAAAATGTCCGCCTTATAAACATATATTATTTGTCATATATAAACGTCGATTACTAAAAATGTATCCACCTATAATTAAACGTTTTTACTATACGTCTATATTAGATTTATAGTTGTAGTATATTTATACGAATCCACTTTGGTATAAAAGACGTTTTTTTTATGTACTAAAATATACGTATGGATACCGTTGATATGCTACCCAATATATACGTGAAAATGTCTGCCCTATAAACGTATATTTTTTTAATTTTTATACGTCTAACATTACTACTTTATCTATATTAGATTTATCTTATATATTTATACCAGAAAATTTTAACCCATACCTGATTACGCCGACCGGCATAGACTCCAACGGCCTGGACACAGCTCAAATTAAAAAAAAATATTTTTTACAAATATTAGATAAGTAGTGCATTTCCAAAACGCTTACTTTTAGATCTAGTCATAGGCAGGCTGTAGGAACTGTCTATTTTATCTGTCGGCACGATATTCTTGGACCTATTCTTCCAGGGACTTGGTCAACGGATCGGAGGACCAATGTTTTGTCGTCTCGTAATAATATACATACACACAGGGTTTAACTAAAGTAATATAACAACAAAAGGGGACAAAAATAAAATACAATAAGATTCAACAGTTACCGTTTCGATGATGGTGGGTGGGGTTTTCCTATATATTTCAACTTTATATAACTATTTACTCTTCCTGTATATGATGTTTGAAATATACATTTTTGTTGATTAAATGTTGTATTTGTTTGTGTGGGATATTCAACAAATAATAATGCACTATATTCCCAACAATTATTTATTAAAATAACAATTAATTCGATTTAAAGTACAAACGAAACTGAAGTGGGACAAGCAAGCATTTAAAAATATAAAATGTGTTTCCCGAAAAAACAATGCAAAAAAGAATTCTAAGAATACCTCGATACACTTCACTAACACAATGGCGTGGCGATAATTTATTCCAATATATCACAATTATCCCCACCAAATAAGAGATAATGAAAACTTCCAAATTGGCAAACTAATAAAAATTAAATAATTTGTTTTAATTATGCTCTTAAGTATACACTAATCTATCTGGTTGTTTTCGGACTCTCTTATTTTCAACAACTTGTGATTCATTTTCGACAACTAGGAGATTACAAATGTTACCCTCTGGCAAATCCAAATTATTGCTATTACCAGCAGTAGTAGATTCACTAATCTTGGTAGAGACAATGTCATTTAAACCACTTTGAATTTTAGTTCTACTCATTTGGTTTGAGTGTCGTTTCCAGGTAACGTTCAACTCAGGAATATCAACAATGTAAGTGCATCTACCTATAATCTTTTTAATATTACCCAAAATCCAAGTAAATTTATTTGTTATATGGTAATACTTTACTAAAACTCTATCACCAATATCAAACATCCTATGTTTCTTCCCTCCAAAATTTTTAATTTGATTTTCTTGTTTTTTTAATATTATTTCTTCAATTAAATCTTTAATTTTAGGGGTTACAGAACAAAATCTGATTCGTAAGTCTCTACCAAACATTAACATAGCTGGGAACGCTCCTGTAGTATTATGCGGGGTATTCCGATAATCAAATAAAAATGACTTAGGGCTAAATTAATGTCAAGAACTTAATTTTTGGCTAAGTAGTTTTTCAAAGCAATTTTTAACATTTTTCACGGCATTTTCCGCTTCACCGTTTGATTGTGGAAAGTATGACGCTGATGTGACGTGAACAATATTATATTTTTCTAAAAATTGTTGAAATTCTCTAGTAAAATTTTTGGCATTATCAGATACCAGTGTTTCTGGCAATTCAAATCTTGCAAAGGTTGCATGTAAAGCAGACAAGGTTAAATGTGAAGTAATATTGGAAGTAGGGAAAACTTCAATCCATTTAGAATGAGCATCCAAAATTACCAAAAAATATTTATTTAAAAATAGTCCCATGTAATCAATATGAATACGAGAAAATAATTTATCTGGCCATTTCCAAGTGTGTAAATTTGATTTCGGAGGACTAGTTTTATTCACGGAGCAATTTTCACATTATGCTGCTGAATCCTCAATGTCTTTATTTATTCCCGGCCAAAAAAAATATGATCTCGCAATCGTTTTCATTTTTACTACTTCTAGATGAGTCATGTGTGATTGACATAATAAATGACCTCTTAATGTTTCAGGAATTACGATTCTATTATTCCAAAGCAAAACATCATTTTCAATAGTAAGCTCATTTCTTATTTTGAAGAATTGTTTACATCTTGGGTCATTTTTCGCATAGTTTGGCCAATCACTTTTAACAAATTCGATAATTCTTTGCAAAATCTCATCTTCAAGAGCAACTTTTTTAATTAATTCAAAATTTGTTGAAATTATTTCATTATCAGAAAAATAATTTAAATAGTTAATATCAACAGATTCCCATATTTCAGTTTCATCGCTAGAAACTGGCAATCGCGACAAAAAATCAGCATTATTATTTTCTGATTTAACATATTCGACTTTATATGAATAGTTAAAAAGAATTACTGCAAAGTGGCGTAGACGATTTGCGGAATATTGAGGTATTCCTTTTTTCGGATTAAAAATCGCTAATAACGGTTTGTTATCGCTTACCAAAGTAAATTCACGACCATCTGTCTATCTATCTGAATTAGGGCGTGGTTCAAAGCCCACTTGTACTGAAGCTCTAGGCTTATTGTACCCCTCACAGTTTCTATCCCATCAGATTGATTTTCTTGATGAATTCAAGAATACGTCTGATGGGCGCTTTCGCGATTTCTTCAGGTTCCGGATATTGTACCCTGAAGTACCATTCCCGTTCCCATTTAAGGTTCCGGCAGTGGCATAGTATGTGAATAGGAGTTTCTTCACGACCATACAAGTATTGATTAAATTTACACAGGGCAAAAATTATTGCTAACCCTTCTCTTTCCACCTGTGCATAATTTTTTTCTGCAGAGGAAAGTGTCCTAGATGCGAATGCAATAGGGCGTTCATGATCTTTAGTCAATACATGTGATAATACACAACCCACTCCACACGGATTAGCATCTGTTATTAATTTTAACTCGTAATCAGGGTTATAATGGGTTAAAACACTGGCTGAAGTTAAAATGTCTTTAACTTTATTAAAAGCTAACGTACAACTTTCAGTCCACTTCCATTTTATATTTTTTAACAATAATTCATATAAGGGATGAAGAATTGTTGCTAGATTAGGAACAAATTTCCCATAATAGTTTATCATTCCTAAGACTGATTGCAGTTGTTTAACATTGGTAGGGATTGGCGCATTTTGTATCGCGGTTATTTTATCCGGAGAAGTCGAAAGACCGTCTTTATTGATTATATAACCTAAATAGCTTATCTCATCTTGAAGGAAACTACGTTTTCAGGCCTACCCTTTAATCCAAGACTTTGAAATCTCTCTAAAAGTATTTCTAATCTCGAAAAATGTTCTTCGCGATTTTTACCGCATACAAATATATCGTCTAAAAAGCAGTCAACAACCTTCAATATCTAGAGTCACAGATTCCATAATTTTTTGGAATTTTGCTGGAGCACAAGATACACCATAAGGTAACCTTTGATACTGAAAGAGACCTTTATGTGTAGAAATCGTGACAAGTACCTTAGATTTCTCATCCAAGCAAATTTGTGCATAGGCTTGAGAAAGATCTATTTTTGAAAAAATTACTCCTCCTTGCAATTTTGTAAATAACTTTTCAATACAGGGAATAGGAAATTGATCAGTTCTTAAAACCGAATTTAAAGTTATTTTAAAATCACCACAAATTCTAACTTCACCTGATTTCTTTAAAACCGTTACAATAGGCGAATAATAAGGAGAATAATCGATAGGATTAATTATACCCAATGTAAGTAAATTTTCTAATTCAGTTTCTATTTTACTTCTAATTTCAAAATAAACTGGCCTAAATTTCACGAATTTCGGAGTAACACTTTCTTCTTTTAATTTAAGTGAAACTGTACCCTTATTAAATGTACCCAGTCCTGGGGAAAATACCGATTCAAATTTAGTAATTAAAGTATTAATATTTTCTTCAGCATTTGGAAAATTTATTTTGTTAATACCAAGTTTGAATATAGACATAAAATTTCTACCAAGAATAGGAGGACCGCCATGACGAATAACGAAAATATTTAAACTATTTTTTATATTATTATAAATTATGTTGGCTGAAAACATACCTAAAGTTTGGATTTGTTCACCAGTGTAAACATTTAAAGTTTTATTTGAAGAATTTAATTTATAATTTGATAAATTTTCATTCCAAAAATTTTCAGATAAAGCACAAATGCTCGCTCCGGTATCAAGTTGAAATATTAAGGGTTTATTATCAATTAAAATTTCAATTAAAAATGGATTTTCTACAACCTTTTCATCAGAAACAGAAAAAATATCCTGGCTTTCAATGTAATTCTGACCAAACTTCTGTTTTGGCGAGTAACCATCCCTTTTCTTTGGACAAACTGGAGCTAGGTGACCTCTGCAATTACAGAAATTGCACCCACAATTTTTAAAACGGCACTTTTTTGTGGTATGATTATTTCTACACGCACATTTTTCCTTCACACTTGCACTATCACTTGATGGACCTTGTGTAGATGATGGATTATTGCGTTGTTTATTCCTAGTACTGACATGATGAACTCCTGGTTCGGTTTTAATTATAGACTGCTGTTGTCTAGACCCATTTTGTTCGGATGCCGTCATTTCTGTTACAGCGGTTTCAATAGCTTCGGAAAAGGTATAACTTAAGTTTTTCTTAAAAAGTCTAGATTGAACTGGCCCTTTTACAAAACCGACAATAAAACGATCTCGCAGCATCATATCAATTATTACAGCATCTTTAAATTCGCAATGTAGCGCTAAATTTCTTACTCTTGCCGCCCACTGATTTGCGCTTTTTAATGGATCCTTGAAAGCACCAAAAACTTGGATCGTATCACAAATGTAGATTCTGAATTTTTAAAATATTTATTAAAAATCTCTGTAAGTTCCTTGTAACTTTTATCTTCTGGTATTCTCGGCAAACATAGATTATACATAAGTTTATATGCATCTTCATCCAGAGCATTCAGAAGAATTGAACTTTTTTTTTTTCATCTTCGGTAATATTATTTACCGAAAAGTTACTATCGAGTCGTCGTTTATAAATGATCCAGTCGCTATTTTGAGCCCAGAATTCTCGTATTTGTCCATAATATGATTTTTTTCCGGCATTTTTTATTTTTATTTCTTTACTCACGCACACACTAAATACGGAAATTTCAATTTCAGGGTTCGAATCACTTATTCTGAAGCGATATTAAAACACACTCGTCGCCAAGATTTGTGGGATATTCAACAAATAATAATGCACTAAATTCCCGACAATTATTTATTATAATAACAACTAACTCGATTTAAAGTACACACGAAACTGAAGTGGGACAAGCAAGCATTTAAAAATATAAAATGTGTTTCCCGAAAAAATAATGCAAAAAAGGATACACTTCACTAACACAGTGGCGTAGCGATAATTTATTCCAATATACCACAGTTTGGAATAGGGATACATTAGGATATACAGGGTATAATATAAAATAGCGACACTTACTGAAGCAACTTTTTGACTCACGTATTATATTATACAGGGTGGCTCACGCTCAACGGGACGGAGCTTTATGGGAAAACGACCAAAGATATAAAAAATTCGTTTGGGAGGAATACGTAGGTTACAGACGGTTACAATTTAAAATTTGTTAGATGTTAACAGGATGTCCCACATAAGAGAAAATATACAAAGTTATATTATTTTTAATGGAACACCCTGTTTTTTATTTTAGAATTAAAAACTACATCAAAAATAATGTCAGTTAACTAAAGGTTCCCTATTACTATTATTATTACTTTTCGATTTATTTGAATTTTTAAGGAAAAAAAGTCTCCCAGAAATTAATTGTTTAATCTTGTTTGAATAATTTTTAATGAACTAATTTTTTTTTCTTATGTGGGACATCCTGTATACATCTAACAAATTTTAAATTGTAGCCGTCTGTAACCTACGTATTCCTCCCAAACGAATTTTTTATCTTTGGTCGTTTTCCCATAAAGCTCCGTCCCGTTGAGCGTGAGCCACCCTGTATAAATAATTCGCTAATTATCATTATTTTAGGCGTTGAAACGATTTTTTTTATATGCAGTTTTTCGACTTTAATTTAAAAAATTATTCACCCTCTATAGTTGATTTTTTAAAAAGGTTGTTATTGTATTTTGATAGTCACAAATATAAATACCACATTGTGTCTCAACAACTAGTCATAAAAAAACTTTTTTTGGATACTTATAATTATCAGGTCAAAAATTACAAAATATATAAAATTCAACAGATTTGATCAAAATCCATTTGTCACAAGGAAACTGCGAGGGCCTTCAATACAAAAAAAAAAAAAAATGCAATTAAAATCATAAATTTGTAATTTTAGGTAAAACCAAATTTATGGACATAAATAAAAGTACATATTACATCAATCACCCCCACACCCAAGACCAATAATCGTAATAATTGTAATCATCGGAATCATCAGAATCATAGTAATAATTGCAAAAGTTAGTGTAATAATACCACCAATATTTTTTTTTCTCCTCTCTCTCCTTTTTTTTTCTTGCAGCTTCTTCCTTTTCCTTGCGTTTTCTCTCTTTTTCTTCCTTTATTCTTTTATTTTCTGCTTCCTTTTTTAGTCTTTCTTGTTCCTTCTTCCATTTTTTGTGTTCTTCTTCCTTTTTCTTTTTTGCTTGTTCTTCCAGCCATTTTTTATGTTCTTCTTCCTTTCTTTTTTTTTCCTCTTCTTCCTTTCTTTTTTTTTCCTTTTCTTCTCGCTCTTTTCTTTCTTTTTCTTCCCTTTCTTCTCGCTCTTTTCTTTCTTTATCTTCCCTTTCTTTTTCTTCCCTTTCTTTTTCTTCCCTTTCTTTTTCTTCCCTTTCTTTTTCTTCCCTTTCTTTTTCTTCCCTTTCTTTTTCTTCCCTTTCTTTTTGTTCTTTTATTTCTTGTTCTTCCCTTTCTTTTTGTTCTTTTATTTCTTGTTCTTCCCTTTCTTTTTGTTCTTTTATTTCTTGTTCTTCCCTTTCTTTTTGTTCTTTTATTTCTTGTTCTTCCTTCTCTTTTTTTTCTTGGGCTTCCCTTTCTTTTATTTCTTGGGCTTCCCTTTCTTTTATTTCTTGGGCTTCCCTTTCTTTTATTTCTTGTTCTTCCTTCTCTTTTTGTTCTTGGTCTTCCCTTTCTTTTATTTCTTGTTGTTCCTTTTCTTTTGTTTCCTCTTCGTCCTTTTGGTTTATTTCTTTTTCTTCTGGTTCTTCTCTTTCAGTCGGTGCTTGTTTTTCCCTTTCAGTTGTTGTTTGTTCGTCCTTTTCTTTTGGTTCTAGTTCTTCCTTTGTTTTTCCATCCGTTGTTTGTTCATCCTTTATTTGTTCAACCGTTGTTTGTTCATCCTTTGTTTGTTCATCCTTTGTTTGTTCATCATTTGTTTGTTCATCCTTTGTTTGTTCATCCTTTATTTTTTCATCCTTTTCGTTTGTAGTTTGTTCTTCCTTTTCTTTTGGTTCATGTTCTTCCTTTTCACTTGGTTCATGTTCTCCCTTTGTTCCTTCTTCCTCTTTGTTTGTTGTTTGTTCTTCTTTTTCTAGTTCTGACAATTGTTCCTTACCAACTGCAGTTGTTGCTTGTTCTTCTCTTTCCGTTGCTGTTTGTTTTTCCCTTTCCGTTGTTACCTGATCTTCCCCTTTTGTTGCTTCCTGTTTTTCCTTATCCAATTTTTCTTGTTTCTCTTTTTCTATTTTTTCTAGTCTTTCTTTTTCTATTTTTTCTAGCCTTTCTTTTTCTTTTCTTTCTTTTTCCTCTTTTGCTTTTTGTTTTTGTGCTTCCCTTTCTTCTTTTTTTTTTAATAATTCTTCTTCAAGTTTTGACAATTCGTCTTCTATAAATTTTGTTATTTTGGGACTTTCGGGGACTGGCCCTATATTTTCGTTGTTTTCACTTTCTTTTTGTTCAACATTTGCTTCATTTTCGTTTCCATTGTTCTCATTTACTTCATTCTCATTTAGTTCATTCTCATTTTCTTCTGCTTCATCTTCGTTTTCATTGTTCTCATTTTCTTCTACTTCATCTTCGTTTTCATTGTTCTCATTTTCTTCTGCTTCATCTTCGTTTTCATTGTTCTCATTTTCTTCATCTTCTTGTTCGTCATTTTCATTGTTCTCGTCTTCTTCTGGTTTATCGATATGTTCATCGTTTATATCATTATCCAGACCAGTTAGATCATCTCTTAAATGAGTTTTTTTCTCAATTTTTGGAGTATATCTTAGCAATAGACGTTTTCTGATAGTTGCATCTTGTGGTGTTTTGTATTTTCCTATATTTTTTCCTAAAACGTCCTTATACTTGTGTCTAACTCGGCCATCACATTGTAAAGCCAAATTAAAGAAAAATAATAACGACACCCCAAAAACATAAAATTGTAATATATCCATTTGGTACTTTTAATATACATTTTTCATGTCGACAAAAATTATTAAAAGGGAAATACAATGCTAATTTTCAATTGTTTCAATTTTTACTGCTTTTAGTTAATTTAATGCATCTAATTTCCAATAGGTACATCTCGCCATGCTCTCTCATGCAATTAATTGTTTGTAATATAACCATTTAATTAAAATACGATGTCATTCTGAAGTCCTTGAGAGTCATACAATTTAATACAAGCGTATTTCGGCTGTAGATCAATTCCTAATTAGTACATTTAAATTGACAACATTGTTTGAATTGTTTATGTTGATTAAACAATCTCTGTGAGATAAATAAAAGTGGACTGTATAATTTAAAAAACTGATTCTATTGAACAAAAAATACGATTATTCTGCCTACACGGCAGAAGGAAGATTTCGACAATAGCTTTTTACGAAACTTTTAAATTTATACACCTTTACTTCGTGAAAGTCCAGAAGCAACAACTGTTTTGAAGACAAAGACCAAACTTGCCTCACCGGCACATGTTTTGTTTTTTAGATAAGTTCGTGAATAATAACTCGCGTGTAACTAAAGTGTAATAATTGGCATTATTATTGGAAAATATAAAGAATTTACCAAAAATTCTAAAAAAGTATTTTTAATGTTTTAAATTAAAACTTCAAAAAGGAACACGCGCATGAAAATAAAACAAATAATCAGGTTATTACTCCAGTCAATGGCTTACAATGAACTAGGGAAATTAAGTTAGAACGTGGGTATTCTAACAAGTACTAACATCACGTAAATTTTGGGTTTATATAGAGATACTAGACATAAAAGAGACTCGAGTGAGGACTGATGTCCAAGACTCTCGTTTTCGGGACTATAAGTCCCGAAACATAAAGTAATGTGTAAAGTAAAGTTTTGTGCAGCGATTCGTGAATGATGGGTAAATATCTATAACTTATTTTTAAAGTGTTTTGTTTGAGATAATTAATTGAATTACATATAAATGCCAATTTTACATTTTCGTCCCTAGTATTACATTTATCTTATGTATTTAAAGTTTCCAGTCTTAATGTTAGTTGTTAATAAGTCCAAACTATATAATTCAATAGGAAGTTTTTCTAGTTGTCATAAATCATAGGTTTTTTTATTAAAAGTTTGGATAAAGTGGTGCTTTATTCCCTAAATATAATTATATTCATTTATTCTTGAGATTAATCAAATTTTGTACTTATTTTAAATATACATTTGTTAGTTTTAATACTTATTATTAATCTCTCCCCTCCTTTCCAAAACCAGTGAGATATTCCGAGCATTTGAGAAGCGTCGGCGTTTCTATTCCCTTAGGTCTAAAAGAGTCAAAAACTAGTAGCCAAGAACCGCTTTGGGACAATTTTTGTTCTTTTTAATTTAATTTTCGTTATTATTTTTATTTGACACTGGTGAATGGATGTTCCTTGTGGACACCGGGACCCTTTGGCTGTTGACAGTTCTGCTTCAATCCGTTAATAGTATATTAACAACAGTAGATAAAGACCTATCAGTGGTTACAAGTGGTATTTAGACTACTTGGTTGTTTCAGAAGCATACACGTATTATTAAATTAGATCCTAAACTTGAAGGTGCAACCTAAGCAGCCATAAAATCACCAGAAAACTATATTTATTGATAATTTTATATAAATTCTTTGGTTTTATTACTCCAAAGAAAATAATGCTTACCTTTTGACGCCTTCTATGCAGCTTGCTAAATGATTCTGGAAACGTCAGGTGGAGATAACGGAAAATTCCAGGGATCTCGTTACGTAATCTATTTTTTCGCATTTCTTTTAAAACAAATTATTCGAATACCTTTGAAAAATTGAAAATAATCGATTAATCGAAAATATTCGGTAAATCGAAAATAATCGATTAATTTAAAAAGTCGATTAAACAATAAATCGATTTTTCTAAAAAAATCGATTATAGTAAATCGAATATTTTGAATAAATCTACTCTCTTTTTGTAATTCCTTTATAATTATTCGGTAAATCGAAAATAATCGATTAATTTAAAAAGTCGATTAAACAATAAATCGATTTTTCTAAAAAAATCGATTATAGTAAATCGAATATTTTGAATAAATCTACTCTCTTTTTGTAATTCCTTTATAATCGATTATTCCATTACCTAAAAAAACGAAAACAATTTATTGAAAATGTTCGATTAATCAAAAATAATCGATTAATTATAACGGATAAATCGATTTTCATGAAAACGATAAATCGATTATTTTTGTAACTCCTATCGGTCGCATGCTTTTATCCGAGCATTTAGCTCCAAACTTAGGATTTATTGATCCTGTTATCTTTGAAACCGCATTCGATTGTATAATAAATATTGCTAGAATTTAGATTTTTTTAGTAAACGAAGATTTTTTTTCGAGTTGTTTAAGGGTTTATAATGTACCTAACATTTTACTAATAATATGACTAATTTCCGTAACTTTAGTATTTTTTGCTTATACTAGATCATATTGCGCGTTTTACTTTGTTTTAATACTTAAGATTCAAATGTCACTTCCGATTTAACCGCAAATAAAATGAACCTTGAAATTTTAAGTAGGTGAATCTGTATTTCATCTAATATTCTAGTAAAAATACCTAATAAGGGCTAAAAACCACCTTTAGTAAATATTCTTATAAAACTACTTTTTAAAAGCAAAATTTCGTTAGTAACAATGCCTATTTACTTTTTATTTAGATTAAATGTTTAAAATTTTAAAATTTTACTTTTTTAAATTAATGCATTATGAAAACTATTTTCTGAAATAGTATGTATTTGATGCTTAATATTTATTGAAACCCCTTAATGCGGATCTGAAGTATTCAGCTCAAAGAATCATGGCGACTTTACGTCAACAAATATTTACCGCTGAAAACGAATATATTTCTTATTTTTCATAACATTGACACTTATATTATTTGTATATACAATTTTTCACTATACATCGTGGCATTTTCAACTTGAAATTAAATAACTAAAACACTTTAAATTGCTAATAACACCAACAAATAATTCAAAAAACGGCGGTCCATAAATGATTTACTTACGCGCGGAGACAAGCAAAGAATAGAAATTTCGAAGCAATTCTGGTGGCGTCGTGAACACAATGATTTTTTATTGGTGGGTTATTTAGGGTTGAAATAGACAACGTGCGCGATGTGCAATGTTACATCTCCGGTATCTTTTATCTAAGCTTAAAATATACGCGCTCCTGGTTTACAACTTTCTCGGTAAGCTACCAATTCTATTCATCGGTAGGCGTGTTCGTAGCATTATAAATGCGCGTCCTTGGTTCTTTAGATTTGGCGTTTACTGTACTTATCTACCTACCCACATTTACTAAAAATATTCATTTTGTAGATACGACCTCTTATCTTAGTAGGACAAACTTTTATGTTCCATCGAGGGGTAAACCGAGGAAGTCTGGTGTACAGACTCAAGAAAGTCCCTTGGAAATAAATGGAAGTCCATAGAAGTTCTCTGAAGTTAGTGAGAAGTCTTGAAAGTCAGGAGGAAGTCCATACAAGTCATGATGAAGTCAATGGAAGTCATACAAAGTCCATGGAAGTCAGGGTGAAGTCCATGGAAGTCATGATGAAGTATATAGAAGTCATGTAAAGTCTATTAAGATTTCCTGAAAGTGCGCATGCGCCTCGGTCATCAGGTGACTAAAATTTTGTGGTGCCATGGGCGTACGCAGAAAATTATTATTTAAGTATATTATATATACATACACTAAGGAAAAAACAAATATAGAAAGGAGCACAATAATTTAAACAAAATTAACCTTATTTTAATAGTATATATTTATCAAAGGAGAGGATATATATTTATTCAACTATAAATAATTACTCCTAATAGTTATTGTATAACTCTACCTAACATAAATTTTTGATAGGAAAAGAATTGTTAACATTTAAAAAAAAATAACAAATATATCAATTTCCAAAGTCTAAAGGTACAGAACAGAACAACTTTAAAGTGAAACACAATCGATATACTTAAAATCTTGCCACCCATAATATGCAGGATGTTTGCAAAAGGTATTTACAAAAACATACCACATAGGTCCCTTTACACTACAGGTCATTAAGAAATAAGCCAAGCTTAAAATGACATTAACAATGTCATTTTAACGCTTAGTTTTTAATTACTAGTGGTGCAAATGGCTCTTATTTCTTGAACCAAAATAAGCCGATTTAAGTAAACTTACCTCAGTACAAAGATCGTTTCTTCTTTATAATTTTAAAACGGCTCATTCGATTCTGCTTAAATTTATTATGTTGACAGTTTTATTTGACAAAAAAATGTATCAAAATAATTATTCACTAATATTAATCCTTTGGCGTAGAACTTGAATTTTTTTATTACTCGCACATTTAAAATTTAATAATTTAGAGTGTAGATTTTAGAGAAAAATTTATTTACTAAAACGTGAATACAAATAAGAAATATGTATAGCGACCAAACTGAGCAACTTTGTACTGAGTTAAATTTACTTAAATCGGCTTATTTTGGTCCAAGGAATCTGTAGTATGTTTTTGTAAAGACCTTTAATAGACACCCTGTATATTCCTTCCAGTAAATAGTATGAAAAATCGGAAAGACATGGTAATCTTATTTTCAAAGGGGACACTTTTAATGAATATTTTTAGCCTTCATGGTTTAAACCCCTAGAATTTATAAAATTCAGCAACATGACTATTCATTTGGGTAATTTTTATTTAAGCGCCCTCTAGCGGGATTAAAAAACTTACGTACTGTTAAGTGTGGCACTTTTAGGAATTTATTTCACAATATAACAAAACAATTTTTTTAATATTATCTACATGAACTCTAATAATTGAAAAATGGTGCAGATTTCTAACGTATGGATATACAAAAATTATAATCTCATTGAACTAAAATAATAAATTTGCGCTGTACATAAATCGCTAATAAAAATATCGTTCAAATGAAGTGTCACACTTTACAAAACGTAACAGTTTTTTATCCATTTAGAGGGCGCTAA